GCCCAGCACGGTCCCGCCGGAGACAGTTCGCTCCTTGTCCGTGAGCATTTCGCGGCCGAGAGTGTTGGAGGGGCTGGAGGAGCTTGCAGACGACCCGTGTGTGAGCGAGAGCACGGAGCCGGAGGCGGAGGCGGAGCCGTAAAAGATGTCGAGCGCGCCGGAGAAGGAGAGCGCCGGCCAGGCCGGTCCGTCGCGAGAGCTGGAACTGTCCGAGCGATCGCTCGAGAACTCCAGCAAGCTCATCTTGCTCCGGTCGGAGGCGCTGGGCCTTCCCTGGTCACCACTTCCCCGAACAAAGCTTCCCTGGCCACTACTTGCCCGGCCGGGACTTCCCTGGCCGCTACTTCCCGGGGCCGAGCTGCCCTGGTCGTTGGGGCTGACGGGTGACGCGGCGGAGGAGCCGCTGGAGCCTGGGATGCCGGAATGTTTGGTCGTCGGGCTCTTGAGATCGATGGGGGTGCCGGTGCGGTCGAGTTGCAGTTTCTCCAGCGACCGGGGGGCGCCGGCCTTGGCTTCCGGCGTAGGCGGCGGGGGCAGAACGAGGGCCTGCGACCCGCCCTGTCCCAGTTGCGACCCGCCCGGTCCGAGTTGCGACCCGCCCGGTCCGAGTTGCGACCCCGCCCCCGGCAGCGACCCCCTTCCTGCCCCCGGTTGCGACCCCGCTCCTGCGGCGGCGTCTAGTAGAGAGGTTCGGGAGCCGCGGGCGGGTGCGACTTGGGGGCTCACGGGATCCTTGCCATGGTACCAGAGGGTGAGGCGAGACTCTCGTTTGCTGCCACGGTCAATTTTGTGTTGGAAACGCCGTTTCTGGACGACGTGGAGCATGTAGGGGTTAGCGACGAGTAGGTCGCGGACGAGGAGTCGTAGGTCGAGAGTGCCCGCAATGGGTGCCCGGCCGGCAAAGTAGAACCGCTGGAAGGTACGGAGACGAGCATGGACCTTGCTTTCTTCCAAAATGACAGTCTCAATCTCCGCGTTGAGCATCCGCGGGTTGAAACGTAACGACTGGCGACTCTGCCGCACTTGTTCAGAACGTCTCTGGAACTCCGCAGGATGGATGTTCCACAAGTCGCGCCACTGTTTCGCTGGCGTGTCCCAACTTGCCAACTGACCCAACTCGCGATATGTCGGCAGCAGTACGGTCTTATCGAGCACCTCGTTCAAATATACATCCGCACGTTGCGTTCGGTCCAGCGGCTGCAAAATGTGCGCCACACGTTCCCGCCGTGCGGCCAATAAGACTGACAAGCGTTTCGCCTCGCTCAAAACCGTAGCGTCGAACTCGTCCGCCGCACGCACGTGCGACAATCGCCGAGTACATTCATCCAACAAATCGATGAAGCCACCTTCGCGCCGAAACTCCTCCCCGTGGACGCGGTCCAACTGCAGCCCCGCCTGGAGCGGCGGATACTGCAGGCACTGAGCCTGAAACAACTGCCGGTCCAACTCCACGAAAATGTCCGTCAGCAGCGTGTTCAAACGAATGTTCTGGTAGTCCGAAATAATCGACGACAGATGGGGAATGTGCACCGGGTAGTTCTGGAGCAACTGCCGCTCGTACTCCGTCGGGTTGTCCTCACGCACTCCCACCACGTGGTGCGCAGTCGGACACGGAAAGATGACGATCTTCAGCGATCGCGTACTGGCACCCGCCACGTCCGCGTTCCGCATCAAGTCGAAGACGTGCCCATTCACGTGCGCCACTGCCACGTCCACCATGCGCCGCCAACACAAGTCCTGCAAACTAAATAACCAATATGGGTTGTTCGTAATGATCGAACGCCACCTCTCGCAAATCGCTAAGTTCTCATACAACAACTGCAATGCCTGCTGTAGGTACGGAGCAGATTTGTTCGACGGACTCTCACGTCGATCCGACACACACAACATCAGTCGAATGGCCACGTCAAACAACTCCGCCGCCAACGCATACTTCAAAACACGCGTAATGTCCTCCTCATCGAACTCCAAAAATATCACCGAACCAAACCAGTCAAAAATCGGCGAGATATCCATCGCTTTCCGCCGCATATGCCACGTTGCATAACCGTCCGCTAACAGGCTGCTCAAACCCATAGCACGAACAAACTTAGCCACCAACAACGAACTCACACCATGGTGCTCCTCGATCCTACTCAAAATACCCTCGCGCAAACCCCGAGTGACCGTCGCCGTCCACAAGACCGACAGCTTCTGGCCGTAGTCGACTCTAGGGGGGCCCTGTGAACTCTTGAAGACGCTGCGATTTAATAGATTGTTCGAGAAGCCCTGACACCAATTGGCCGACTGCAATGTCCAACACTCCAGTTGCAACGATGTAACAACCAACTTCGGCTTCGACTGCCTCCACTGCAAATACTTGGCAATCAAGTCTTCTCCTTCTCCACCCAAATATTCCTCCAAATGTGTTCGCTCCACTGCCATTTGAATTGATAGATCAAGTCCAACACGTGTATTCAGCATATCATCACAACACACAGAATGCAACACGTTGCACAAATGCTCATACAACTCCTTCTCTCCCGGCTGGTCGATTAACCGGCCCCACTCTGCCAGAAACTCCAGCATCTGTTGCACGTGGTCACCATCACCAGACAATATAATCATGTTCGACTCTCGACCCTGGCTCTCCACCGTTCTCGCCAGCCGAGATATGCTTCCTCTTGAATCCGATGGTAAGAAGTCCTGAGGCCCAAAAACCGGCCATTCATTATGCGATCGCGATTTGCTACTCAAACTCACCATATTCTGGTCACCAATCCACGTCATCGGCTTCCCCGCCTCCAGCCGATCTATCAAAATGGGTATCGCCAAGCTCAGGTCTTCCAAATGAAACAAATGAATTGCATGACTGCCTTCATGGTTGCCAAACTTTATTCCGCGCTTCGCCACCGGATGCATTACCTCTTCTCCCGACACCTTCAACTGAGCCCCGTCCTTGGCTTTTCGGATAGTACAAATGTCATTGTTCAGCTCCTCAACCACCGCGGATTCGGCAGGTGTCGGAATCGTCCGACGAGTTTTGCTAGCTTTGATATACGCGACTGGGTCGCCATAGTCCAATACCCGTATCCAGCCTGTACAGTTACAAAAAATGTGGTAGCGCCAGTTACCTAATGAGTGGGGTCCTTGATCGTCATTTGCAGACATCAAGCACCTGGATTTTCGGCCAAAGAGATAGCGCGCACACGTGTGCGAAGATTGGATTTAGGAATCAAGGAGCATAATTCTTCTGCTCTTGACTTCAGGCATCATAGGTTATGGCGTCAATAATCGCTACAGGCCGTTGTTCAATAATGGGGCTGCAATCACAGCCTTGATGGTGCGTAGACTGAGTGGCATCTCCAATATGGAACACGACTACGAGCAGCGACAAAAATTGAAGGGAAGTACATAGAAACGGGGATGTGACAAGAGAACATGGATAGTGGCGAGAATGGGGTTGAGTATTACTTTCGTAATTGTCTATGACGAAGGTATGGGCGGAGCGTTGTCGCTTCCCTTGCCGATCATTCCGCTCGGTTTTATCTCTTGGATCGAGGCGGACCGATTCAATGATGCACGCGATGAAATCACTTAAAGACCTGTACATGGTGAACATGCGCAGTCTTTTTTCTTTCTCCCCGATGCTATCGATGATACGTATGGCGTCCCAGACTTTTTGAACAAAATCATCGTTGCCGCTGCAATCAGTCTTCGGGTCGGCATTTTCCAGTGCTGCAAGTTGACTGAGGGTTTGGTCAAGTAATTCCCGGTATTCCTTGGTGCCAGCCTGTTGGATTTTCTTCGCCTTATTCATGCCTACCGCCTTTGCGAGGAAGGGTCGTATGAGCTTAACGATATGGAACTCCACTATGAGGGGTGCAGCAGGGCAGTTGAACACTGCTGGCGCGTAGAAGGTCTGGCCGAAGATGTTCAGCCTGCATGGGGGGTGAGGCTGAACGTACTCCGGGTGGGTGTAGTTCACATTGTCTAACGGGTGATAGGGTTTCAAGTCCAGGAGTGGCGTACCGTCCACCAGGTCGACCCCGGTGAGCCAGACGACCTTATCCTCAACCCGCTGGATCTCGCACAAGCTTAAACCGATAGGGCAGGGTCTATGCGGAGACCGGGTGGCAAACGTGCCAATTCGTCCGCGGGCCTTGGGTACCCGAATCGACGGGTTTCCCGCGGGCTTCTCTTCGCTGTCCGGGAGGGGCTGCTGACAGCATGATGTGTGCTGGCTACCCGGCTGGCTACCCGGCTGGCCACCCGGTTGATCACCTCCCGGTTGATCACCCCCCGGTTGCTCACCTCCCGGTTGGTCACCCCCCGGTTGGTCACCCCCCGGTTGGTCACCCCCCGGTTGCTCACCCCCCGGTTGGTCACCCGCCGGCTTGGCATTTTGATGGAAGAGGAATATGAGCCAGCAGTGGCTGTATTCATCGAGTCCTTGCAGCCAGTGATTGTTGAATTCTGGTCTCAGCTCCACCTTACCTATTGCGTGCGGTACGAACAGTCCCTGTCGGGGGGTTCCATATTTGCTTTTGAAGGGCGTGCGAACCACTCCAATGGGCTTCAATTGCACCGGTGCATGCTCAGTGGTCTTGTTCCCAAATGCGTGTTGCACTTCGAGGGTTTGAATCCGAGTACCGTCCATCGCGCGGAAGTTGACGAATCCACCGCTCCGATGGGAAGCCCGCGCAAAGGTGAATTTGGCGTTCCAAGCCTCCACCAGTGTCTTGCACTTTTCCAACGCCGTTTCTGGCGTGTGGTCGCGGAGTTTCAGACATATGTTCGTGTAGTAGTCCCCGTACTCACAATTCTTGGACTCTACGACAGTAAAGTTCTTGGGCAACTCTGTGTCTGGAAACTGTCGAGAACATGATGGGTTGTACTACGTCATGACACTATGTCATGACACTATGTCATAACACTATGTCATAACACTTTGTCACGACACTATGTCATAACACTTTGTCACGACACTATGTCAGTGGCATTGCTTCAAGAAGTGTCACTGTGTCCCAGTTTTAAGCCGGTGTTTATGACCCCAAGATATTGTGTGGGTGAAAGGGAAAGGGAAAGGGAAAGGGGATTGGTATGGTGTGGTACTCACCAGTTCGTGCCAGAGGGGCACGAGCTCCGTGTTGATTCGAACGTCCATCCTGTCTCCTTTCGCACACACACACTGGCTCAAATTGTGTAAAGAATCTCAGTTCTATTTTTCGATTTTTTATCCAAGATGGGAGCAGGACAATCTATCGCTTGTGCTATGCCAGCCGACTACACCATGTCTAGCGAGAAGACGGTGGCACCCAGTGCGGCGGAAATTGAGCGTTATGTGACGAAGGTCCGTCAAGGGGTTGAGGACAGCATCGAAAGTTTCCACGCTAGATACCAGGTAAGCGTGTGACGCACTGCAAAAGAGGGTTACCCTAAAGGGGACGGCCTGTAGTGGGTGTGTCCGCTAACTAACGGGGGTGACGGGTGTGTCCGCTAACTAACGGGGGTGACGGGTGTGTCCACTGTGTTTGCGTAGCGGTATTTGAGTTCGTTTGAGCCTGACGTCGAGGTGTTGAAGAAGTGTACGGCTGACTTGGTGGCTGAGTTGCATAGTGGATTAGAGTTGCACAAAGAAAGTCCGTCGGGTACGGTGGATGCTTCTAAATGTTGTTTGAAGATGCTGGATGCGTACGTACCACAGGCTCCAAGTGGGGATGAGAAGGGTGTGTTTTACGCGTTGGATTTCGGCGGTTCAAATTTCCGTGCGTTGCGTTGTGCAATGGAAGGGGGTAGAATTCAGATGACGGCGAAGAAAGCATCATTGCTGGATTACGAGTGTGAATTGCCCAAGGGTTTGTTGGATCCCAAGGCAACGGCGACAATGATGTTCGATTACTTCGCAACCATTTGCCGTTCGTTTATGGAAGAGAACGGAGACGTGGAGGCGAAGTCTGGTTTCCAATGTGGTTTTACATTCTCCTATCCGTGTTCTCTACGTTCGTTGAGGATTGGCGAGTTGGTCACTTGGACCAAGGGCTTCGAGACAGGCCGTGCGACTCGCGACCCAGTGGAGGGCAACGACGTAGGCATGTTAATGAACCAGGCCTTCCGTCGTCACGGCGTGCCTCTGACCATCAATTGCATTGCCAATGACACCGTCGGCACACTGTTGTCCAGCGCCTATGTGCTGGAACCCTCAGCTCCGCCCTGCATGATCGGAGTCATACTTGGAACCGGCATGAATGCCGCCTATGTGGACGAACGCGCGGTTGAGCACGGCTACCAAGGTCCTCTGATCAACATCGAGGCGGGCAATTACAACAAGTCGCTCCCGCGCACGAATATTGATTATGAAATCGACTTTGCCGATACTGGTGCTCGAGGCTACCAACAACTAGAAAAAATGGTATCAGGCGCTTATCTAGGCGAAATGGTACGACGCATGGTCGTCAAGGTCTTCCAATACAAATGCACTCCACGCATGTGGCAAGTCGGATCATTCTCCGCCGGTGACGCCTCTGTCTGTCTGGGGGACAAGTCAGCCTCTCTAGTCGTCGTTGATAAAAAATGCCGCGAACAATGGGGCTGTGAATTCAGCATCGAGGAACTCGGCTGGGTTAAAGACTTGTGCGAAGTCGTCTTCCGCAGATCCGCCGCACTCGCCGCCGTTTTAGTGGCTGGCATAGCCATCAAAACGGGTAAACTTCAGGAAGCCATCGGTGGCTTGACTGTTGGCATTGACGGATCCCTTTGGAAATGCAATCCCAAGTACCGTGCTGACCTCAAGACCTACCTCGGACACATCCTAGGCCAAGAGGAAGCAAACCTCATCACTCTCGTCAACTCAGACGATGGCTCCGGGCTGGGAGCCGCTATCCTCTCCGCTGTCGCAGATAAGTAGACAACCACTCGACCAGGAATCCCGCTTGACCGCTTGCCCGCCTCAAGCCACTTGACCTGAACTCGTTTTACTGGATTGAAGCAAGCTGGCCACCATAATCGGTATGTCACCCACCATAATCGGTACCTGAAAGGTGTGCCAACCAAAATGGAAGAGCTTTGTAACGCCAATAATTTGCTAGATTAATATTCGCGATGTGGCACGTGTGGCACGGTATTCGTATATAATCCACTTTGTGTCCGACACAATTTTTTATGCGTGTGTGCCTTGTCGCAAACACTCTCTGGCTCCTATTTTTTTCAACTGGAATGCGTTTCTCCAGTGGCCTATTGCTCTTTTGTGCCGATCAGGTGGTGGGTTTATCCTACGTTAGTAACCGGAAGCTGGAGAGCTTGGTTGTCAACGATGCTAATTTGGTCCTGATCAAGACGCAGGATTGCAATGAATTGTGCGACATGTACGAGAAGTCTCTAGATCTGATACGTGAAGGCTTCGAATCTGGCGAAGGCGTCGGCAAAGGTATTGAAGATTTGAAGAAAGTTAAGTTTTTCAAGACGGAGATCTCTGCCAACGAAAAGGAGCCGTTTCAGAAAAAATTTGGCCTGGCCAGATTACCTACAACTTTGTTGATTCGTGGTCCGTGGATCTACGATTACAGTGGAGACCTGGTGAAGGAAAAGGTAGTTGATTTTGTGCATAAGTATATGGCTGATATTATGGTGAAGTTTGAGAAGGAAAAGGAAGCGCGCGAGTTCTTGAACAAGGAGTTAGAGCCATCGGACGTGCACATTTTGATTGAGACTGACGAGGCTGGTCGTCAGAACTTCGAAATGATAGCCGGAGCTGAGCGCGAGTTTGCCAAGTACGGGTATCTCGACTCCGGTGCCAAGTACGGCGAGGGGAAAGGTTCGTTGACTGTGATGAAGTGGGGCATGAAGAGTCCGTTGGTGATAGGCGGTTTGGATTTTACAGATCACAATAAGGTGTTCAAGACTATTCTGGAGCACCAGATTCCGTCTATAACCGCACTTGATATCCCAAAGATGCGGTACTTCTTTATGCAGGCGAAGGGATTCGCATGGGTCATCGCCACTGAGGAGGAGTTTAACGAGGCGTTGGCCTCGGAAATGAAGGGACTGGATAGCAGCCGGGGCTTGCACTTCATCCTTGTGGACCCGACAAAGGACCAGCAGTTCCTTGCATTTATCAACGAAGTATTAAAGATCAAGGACCGTGAGATGCACATCATAGTTACGGATGTGGATGGCCCCGGTCGGTATACGTTCAACGGGCCCTGGAAGCGTAAGGACATAGAGAAGTTTTTGACGGGGGCTTTGGAAGGTCGGTTGGAGAGAGAGATACAGGCGGAGCCCGTGCCCACCGACGACCAAGACCGACTGACTATGCTTACCCGGACTGGCGATCGTAGACCACTGCCACTGCCCAAGATCTCTTCGTCCGAGCTTGCCAGCAACGTTGCACGCCAGCACGATTCCGAATGGGTCGTGGTCGTACCGTCCATGCTCTGCCAAGAACACGTGTGCGAATCTGTATTGCAAACACTCAAACAGTATTCGGAAGAATACAATCTTACCAACCTCAGTCAAACTCAGTGCATTAAAATCGTCATGATCGATGGGCATCACAATGAATTCTACCCCGAATGGAACTTCCCCATAGCCAACTCCCCCCCTGCTTGGTTTATACCCAAACGTACCGCCGGAACTACCGTACAGAATTTCAACAAGTCCGAACTCAAATTGGAGCAACTGGACACTCTCGAACACTTCAAGGAATTCCTTAACCAAAACTCCAACTGCACCGCATTACCCCACGCTGATAAGCCCAAGGTGGACAAACTCGATGCCGACTACTCAAAACCCAAGGCCGAAGAGCTGTAGTTCCGTCTATTCACCTAAGTACCTACCAACCAGCCAGCTAGTCACACCAGTATTCACCAGTATTCACTATTTGCGTTTTTTTTAACTTATTGACACGTCTCTTCTTCACACTTCTTTTGGCCATCCTTTCTGTGGAAGCGTTTCTATTTGGCGTATTACGCAGCACTCCCCTTTTTGCGCTGGTGTTTCAGGATCTTCTTCGTATCCTCAATGAGGTCCTCAACCTCTTGATCTATAGTTGCCTCGTCCATGCCTGCAAGAATGTTTCTCTGGCTGATCTCGCCTACGGAAGTATCCGAAACAAGTGTGTCTGACCTTCAGTTATGATTTCCTTGACGCATTTTCTGACGTAGACGAAGTTCTCATTAAGCCACGTCCGTCCGTAGTCACTGACAAGCAGGTCGACGATAGTGTTGCAGTTCAGATCTACCAGATCAGGCGACCTCGCGATAATGTTACGAATGTCATCTTTAAGCCGGGTCTTCGCATCCATACTTTGCCCTCAACAAAATTGTGATTAACATGTGTAATTACGACGACGCAGGTCGTGCCGGTACTAAGATGATTGCGAAACGTTACGGAACGTACTCATGATACGAAACATGTAATTATGATAAGAGATATGTCAATGAGGGTCACTCACAAGATGCATTTGTCAATGCACGATGGTCTTATATGATGTACTAAAAATGCACAGGCCCGCATTTGTAGCGGACCGCATCAGCGGCGGACCGCATCAGCGGCGGACCGCATTAGCGGCGGACCGCATTTGCGGCCCATGTCCTGGCCGCCTGTACCGATTTATGCGGTCACTTTGTGCGTATGTCTAGAGCATGTTGATGCCGCCCTGGAGCATGGCTTGTCTGATTAGTTCTTCTTCGTCTGCATATTCACTGTCGCTGTCACTGTCGCTGCTGTCGTCTTTTTGTCCCGGTTGTGAGGCGGGTGCGTAGAGACACTGACCTGCATCCAAGCCCCACTCGGAGTTAGCGCTAGGATTGACAGTGAGGCTGCGTTCTGCTCCGTCGGTGCGATGGCCCTTGACGGTGTTGTAGAAGGAGAAGTCGTTCGCCTTGAGCGTTGTCGCAAGTTTCAGGAAAATGCCTGCAACCTCGTCGTATTCATCGAGATCATCTCCGCAGTCCACGTGGAAGTTCACCTCCATCTGGTGCGCCAGAAAGTCGGCCAGCCGCTCCTGACTCTGAATAATGTTCTGGCGCCGCTCATAAAAAGCTGCCAAAATGTCCTTGTATAAGTCATCTCGCTTCTGCGCCGAAGCACGACCACCCCAACCATGTTCCACCGCCAACGACAGAATCGTCCTACAAGTACAGACCATGCAGCCACCCTTCATTATGCGAACAACAGATCATGCAGTCCTTACGAGCTGGACCACCCGGACTGCTCGGAGGAGAGCACGCAGGAGATGCAACCTAGGTCGCAGTCCATTCCCCCGGTTCAAACTTACCATCCTTTCAAGACGTGCAGAACTCCGTCCTCAAACGCTTTGGCGGCATCCTCACTCATTGAGAGACCGGCGGGTAATTAAATTTAGAGCCGAAGTTCTTGGAGTGAAGATTTCGACCTTTCCTCATTAACAAATGCTCGTAATCGCCGTGCCGTGTGCTAAATGGGATGATCTCCTGGCATCGTCGGGCTCCTGGCATCGTCGGGATCCTGGCATCGTCGGGATCCTGGCATCGTCGGGATCCTGGCATCGTCGGGCTCCTGGCGTCGTCGGGTGGTAGTTTGCTTGCTGGTGGTAGGGGAAGGAGGTAGGGCTCCCCGTTTCTGGTTCTGAGTCTGGTGGGTCGGTGATTTGGGTTGGGTCGATTATGTTTGGTTGTTGGTGTGGTGGGATTCTTGTTTTTATTGTATAACAGCCGCCGCCTTCGGATGGAAGGCTTCGGGAATTATGACCCGGATGCGGAAGACAGTCGAAAAGGAGTGTTGGCTCAAGTGGAGAAGAGCGTGGCGGTGATCGCGAATTTGGGGGAGTACGTACCAGATGCATGGAAGAATAAGCTAGGGCTGTATGAACAACCTGTTGGTCGCGGAAAGACATACCGGGGATCGGGGGGAGGTTGTTTAGAAAGGACGACACGGAGCGGATTCAACTACCAACCAAGACTGGGAAGAAATGACCAAATGCCGACGATGGTTCGACCGTTACCAGAAACAGGCCGGTCTGACGGTCTACGTCGGCCCGACGGCATCAGTCGGTCCGACGGCATCAGTCGGTCCGACGGCATAGGACGTTTCGCAGATTCTGGTACCTGGAAAGATTTCCGAGAAGACTATCGTACCGCTATGAGTGGTGGTACAGGCATAAGTGGTACTGGTATTAGTAGTCCTGGTATGTATCGGACAGTTGAAGATCCTAACTGGAGACCGCATGGCAGCTCAAGTCATCGAGACTACGGGGATCGAGACTACGGGGATCGAGACTACGGGGATCGAGACTACGGGGGTCGGGACTACGGGGGACGAGACTACGGCAGTGGCGGTCGAGGTTGCCCAAACGGAAGTGGAAGGCGAGACCATCCCAGCGGTAGTGCAGGTCGAGATTCCGGCAGCGGAGGGCGAGCCTACGCTGGAGCCTACGCTGGCGGCAACGGCATCTCTACTGTTGCCAGGGGCTCTCCCCCAGGGGACTTCAGTTTCCGGCAATTCAGCGACCAAATGGGAGGCATGGACGAGTGTTCGCCAGTGGTGGTCGGAGACTACGAGAAGCAACTAGTGAGACGCATTGTTCAGCCGCGCGGAGGACGGGCAATGCCAACAATGGGAGAGCTGGACGGGTTCCGGCGCGAAGCATCTGCCGTGGACTTGGTCAGTATCCTGGAGGCTATATCCGAATATATATTGAATGAGACGCAATCTTGGCAGTGGAAGATACGCGCGCTGGCGTTGCTGCAAACTTTGCTGGTTAGAGACCGATTGTAAGCGCTTACACACGCGTGTGCACACACTTTTCTTCCAGAGATCCGCATCTTTGCGTACGAGTGCGGTCCTTAATCCAAACTGACCAGGCGCTGTTGCGAGCTCTGTCCACCACCCGGCAAAAACAGTGCGCCCCGTTGGCGGATGAGATACTCGGGGCGCTGGACATCCCACGATCTCGAACCGCTCCCCTAGAAACTCGACCTCGAGCTGGCGATCGAGCGGTTCCGTGTGTAGATCTGTTGTCCGCGCTTGACGAAAATCCAGCTGCAGGCGGCGCTCTTGGCGGCGGCGAAAAACTCAACGGTAGCGTTGACTTGATTGGGATAGGTGTGGCGCCGAGTCACGGAGCGGCAGAAAGGCCGTCACCGGTTCAGAAACCGCCTGGCCAAAATGTGGACCTGCTGGATGATTTGTTGTTGTGAGCTGACGGGGGTTCGAGGGAGGGGTATCCATACTGGTAGTCTCTGTGCCTCTTCGCGCGCCCGCCCGCGGGGCCGGCCGCCCGATTCCTTCCCGTCCGCATACCCACGTATTCGTTCGTGTTCGCATTGGCAAGGGAACGTGTGTCGACATACACCTGCGTTGCCTCACATAGTGAGCACAGAGTTGATGCCCCGGTACAGTACAACCCGCCCCGCCGCGCGGTGTGTGCCCCGTCAGTGTTTGGCCGGGTGGTTGATAAAACCTCCAGGGTTGTACAGGTTGATGGGGAAATGAATCTAGTGTACTATCTGTTGTTGTGCTGCCTTTTCGAGGACGCGGATGGCTTCATCGATCTTGAGTTTTAGGTCAGTTTCAGATTCGAGGAGGACCTTGAGTTCTTGTTCGTCCATATCGAGCATCATGCCTGTGATCTTGCCGGCAAGTTCCGGCTGGAACTTCTGGACGAGGGGGAAGAGTTGTTCGCCAATGAGTTGTTTGTTAGTGGCCTCTGGCATGTGTGTGGGTGGCGCAGCACGGCGTGCGGCGGCTGCAACGGGTGCAGGTCTGACGTAGTTGGGTGCCATTGGAGGGAGGGTGGGTGCGGCAGCCTTCCACATGAAGTTGGCGGGGGCGCCCTGGAATGGAGGTGGTTGAGTCCAGGGGCCCATAGGCCGCTGCGAGAAGTAGGGTGGCAGAGGGAACCCAGTCGGGACACCAGTGGGTACACCCTGTGGGATTTGTTGGGGTGCTGCGGTCCGGGCAGCAGTGCCCTTAAAGTGCGTCTGGAGACGCGCTTGACGCCTATCCTTCTGCTCAGCAAGACCCACATACAGAGGTTTGGCGTCATGCAGCTTTAAGTGCATTTCTGCTAACGCCTTAGTCGCCTCCTCCGGGGTCGTGAAGCATACGAAACCGAAACCCTTGCTGTGCCCATCTTCGTCCTTCATCACTTTCGCACTCGTGATAGTACCAAAGGCCTCAAACAATGCACGCAGTCCCGCGTCGTCCACGGAGTCCGACAGGTTCTTGATGTATAGATTCACGCCCTCGTAACGGTTTCTAGACGCAATTCCACCACCAGACCGATCGTGTTTGGCTTTGAGAGAAGCCAGTCTCTCTGCACGGTCCTGCGCACGATCTACGTACAACACCATTACCTCGTCCTCCTCATTGTCCACTCGCTTCGCGTCCATACGCTTCGGCACCTCAGCATCATCCTCCTCAGCCTCATCGGTCTTGTCTTGACCGGTCTTGTCTTGACCAGTCTTGTCTTGACCACTGTTTTCACTCTTCTCCTTGTTTTCACTCTTCTCCTTGTCTTCAGTGTTCTGCTTGTCCTCAGCCTTGTTCTCCTCCGCAGCGGACTTGCCTTCAGCACTTGCGTGTTTGTCAGCGTCCGCGCTGGTAGTCGTCTGCTTCTCTTCGGGAAGCAGGCCTTCATTGTTTACCTTCTTGCCGTTTAGAGCAGTTACGGCATTCCGGGCCTGGTCCGGCTCGGCGTAGTTAATGCACGCGAAGGGGCGACCGCGCGAGTCAGTAGAGGTAAAGATCGAAGTGATGTCACCGAAGCCGGCAAATAGGCTACGCAACTTGCCTTCGTCCCAAGACACCGGGTAGGACTTGGTGTACACATTCGTAAAATTCTCGGCCCGCCCATTCGGACGCTCACCGCGCTTCTGGAAAGGGCCCACATACACCTCCTTAGACCCAATCTTCATGCCATTCACACGGTCCACCGCCAAGGCAGCCGCTTCGTCCGACTCAAAGTGAACGAAACCATACCCCTTCGAACGACCCTGCTCGTCCGCTACCACTTTGCAACTTAAGATGTTGCCGAACAGCGAAAACGTGTCATGCAACGCACGACTGTCCACACCACGGTCCAGGTTACGCACAAACAGGTTGCCGCTCGTGCTCTTCCGCACCGTAGGGTCGCGCTGCGACCACATTATTCGGCACGGGTTGCCCTTTATAGGCGTGTGATTCAAAGTCTCCAAGGCTCTTTCCGCTACATACAGAGATATGTCTCAGCAGGACTGAGAGGG